GAAAGAAGAGAAGATCTTTGCTCAAAGGAATTTGGTAGCAAACTTAATATGCCTGTAATTACTATACAGTCTCTTGCGCTCTAAAGTGTTCGAAGACAACCAGGTTGCCTGTCTCTTGTGAATGTTCCCAAAATGGCTGCACGCAACAAGTATTTAGCATTGAAGTACCACTCTTCAGGTCCAATATCGGGGAGTCGAAGGGCATCGTGGCTAAGTATATTTCCGACTCTGGAACAGACGGCCGACATTTTACTAAGGTTCTTCCGGCTCCACAGTTTCCTGTCATTCGGAAGCTCCTCATGGATGTAATTTACCTCAGCACTTTGCTTGGGTGATGCTCTCCTATCGTTTCTTGCTCCAGCTTCATTTCAAGCTGTAAGGGAGTGCGAGGGATAACAGCTTACAATTCAGCTTTACAGCTTTAACAATTTAGCAGGTTATTCTAAAAATAATCATAACTGCTCACTTATTTGGAAATACAAACTTTACATCTCTTAGATCGTTAGATTAGACAATCCACAATGGTATTGTCGCATTGGGAGATGCAAGGTGCCGCAAAAACCAATATCGAAGGCGTCGATGTCCTCATTGTGTCTGCCAGCTATGGACGGAGCAAGGAAAGTAGGCTTTTCCTGGTGAACTTTGACGAATGCAGCGAAGAAGACGCTCCCATGGATGACGAAATGAAACGAAAGAAGATCATGTACCCTCCTGGGATGGAGGATGTCCATGTTTCCCCCACATCTGAGTATGTCTGGTTCCTCACCGAATTTGGTAAGAAGGAACGACTCCCCTTCACTCCTGGCGCGAAGAATCGACGTGTGACCTTTGCAATCAAGAAAAGTAAGATTGTTGATTTGCTTGGTGTGGAAGCCGACTCTAGCGACTCCAGCGACTCCAGCGACTCTGGCGAAGGTGAGTAGTTTGATTGATTGAGTCCAAGATGCGCAAGAGGGTACCGTAGGATCGATAACTGCATAGACCATTAGAAAGGGTTTTTCTAAAGGGTGGGGAGGTTCTCGACAGGAGCCATCGAGGGCCATTGTTGTTGGATGAGCCGTGCTTCCTCAAAGTAGCATTATACTTCGTTGTGCACACAGAGAGCAGATTCTTCTCCTTTTGGAGCATAGTCACAGGTGCCTCCACGACAGGCACAGCAGGCTCCAGGCATATGTTCCTCCACCTTTGAGCCCCTTTGCGATCTTCCCAGCAAGAGCACTTGTTCATGCTCACGTACTCTCTTCCTAATCACAGCTGCGGATAGAACATTGTTGCTTTCTGGATATGCTGGATTGTACGTCTGGTTTTCTTTTGCAGGACGTCGAATGTGCCAGTTCACAAAGGTTTGGTGGGCGTTGGCTTGGGCCAGTAGCTGGATGGGGCGACGCGTCTCGAGGAGAATCTCCCGAGTCATCTCTTGTCGGAGCGTCGAAAGAGCAGCGGATCGGACGTTTTCTGCTTCCATATTATCGTTCAGCCTTGTTTATTGTTGGATTGTCCAAGCCAGAGGGGGGAAGGGTAGGGAGCATACGCCGCCGGGAAAAAGACAGATCGATCACTTTCTTTCCGATGCACGCTTACGCATGGTCTGACTAGATGGCGGCTTCGAGTTCTCAAAGTTGTGTCTACAGAGAGCTCTTGTATGCATGGTGGTGGCCGCGGCCTCTTGAACTTTTGACATGATATGCAAATGAGTGACTGGTATCCTTTGAGCCAAACCACAATCAAGTCAGCGTACCGGTACCACTGCTCCAAAAAGAGACATCTCATTTCCTCACGAGTCGAGTCTTGCACCTTCTTTGTTGGCTTCAATTATTACAAGTTTAATAGAGTTGCTCCTGTCCTTGACGAGCTTGTCGCTTAACCAGATTGATGGTACCATACCGGTATGCTGGAGGAGGGAGGCGTTGGGCTGAAGGGTTCCATGAAGTGGACAACCCAACAAAATCATCGCACTCCATGAAGTGAATGGTTACTATGGCTTAGAGGGAACTATGGGAAGGGAGAGAGCGGGATGCACAAACATGGGCCGAGTAATCGATTGAGCAGAGCAGCAGCAAAACCAAAGAGGGAGGGAAGGCAGTTCAAGTGGCACTTGATCTATGCATGCTGTATGTTTGGAGGCAGTCCCCCACCCTTGTTTCCATTCGTGACTGGACTTCATTCGTGGATACAAATTTGCATCGAGTACCGAGAGGTGTCAGCTGTCCCAGGTGTCGGATCGCTCGGGTCTGTGAGGATGACAACAGAACTGCAACAATGACAAGCCAAAGGCATGACCACTGGAAGTCAACCTGTCAGTGGCGTATGGAGAGCCACTGTGCCGCGCTCTAATGCTGTACATGGATACGGTCAAAAGGGTACACAAAAGAAGACGATAACGATGCTCTTTGTTGGAATTCCATCATCTACAAAAAACAGATCAGGAGACTTCCCGCGGAAGAAACTGTGTGCTTTATGGATGCCCCCTATTGACTTTTTATCTGGTGGAAGCTCTGCGTTGCGGTTTGACCTGCCTTGGTGGCATTGGTGGTACCAGATGATGATTGTGGTTGGACAAAGACGAGATGAAACGCTCCGATTCGGTCAGGTCGTCCTCTGGTACTGTTGACAATGGTATCGCCGCAGCGGGCAGCCCGGCTTCATTCACCCAATACGTTGCCATGTTCCCCTTGCCCTTTACATTAATGAATCCCCGAGAAGCAATGGGAAGTGGATAGGACTCTATGCGCAGCTGGTCGAGAGCCGCTTGCGAACAATGAATTCGATTCTTCTTCGAGTTGCTCTCCATGCGACTGGCAGTGTTCACTATACGGGACAAAGAAGTGACCCATGCGACGAAAGGGAAAACCAATGAACAGAACGAGGGAAAGCAATGTATTGTATTGTGTGAACAGTTTGATTCCATGTAACGTTGACGGCGGGGTGTCTTGGAATTTACCTGTGTCTCCAAAGAGGCAGTATCGAGGATTCTTAGATCCCACCACATCCGCCACGACGGGGCCAGTGTGGAAACCTAAGATCAGGCAAGACCAAACAGTTTTGAGTTGGAAGAACATGAACTTTGAAACATTTCACCGCATTATGTGGCACGTACCGACGCGAATGTCGACATGACCCATGAAAGGATCATCCTCGTTGATGAGGGTTTCATTGGCTGCCTCAATGGCATCAACCGCGAAATTGGCAATCCGAGAGGCATGGTCGCCGGGTTGATCCTTGACGAGATTCGTGACTGCCATGTAGGCTATGAATAATGGGAAAGGCAGCAACAACGACAGAGAAAGTATGAGTCTGGTACTAGCTACAAGGGTGACAGTCCAGCGAACAGAATGACATCTGCTTGACTTGACTTGACATGACGTACCATCACCAATTGTCTCAACCTACCGTACCAACGAAACAGCAGCGAATCAGCGTTAGTCAACAGACACTCGATCCTCAAGCTCGATCGGAGATGAAATGGCACAAACCTTGAAAATATCATGTTCTTGAGACAAGCCATCAAACTTGGTGTACAACCTGTCAAGCATATTCGCAATCTTCCTTGGCTCCAGCTCGGAGGAAATTTTGGTGAACCCTTTTGTTATGGATGAAAAGCCAAGCAAGGTTGTCAGTCAAATCGGTATTCTGGATGAGTGCCAACTATTCACCCCAGGGTGCACCACGTACCAACAATGTCTAGAAGGAATGGGAGGAAGAGCATTCATATCAGTGGATCTGTTTGATGAATGCAAGCACAACAAGCCATGCACTCAATTCAATCTGCAAAACATAACTGAAAAGAAGATTGTCACAGAATCCTTGTGCTCTGGTTGCACGGGCATTCCGTCCCTGAGAGCCTCTGCGACGTGCTGGGGAAACAAATCAAAGAGAGACACAGACGTTCGTCCCGAGTTCTTTGCATCGATGGAATGCCGGGTCTCGTCAAGTGATTTCAAGGCGGACACCTCAATACGATGAAGCCGTTTGTCAAGCTCCTCAAAAGTGGGACGTTCCTCTGGATTTGCCACCATACAGTCAAACATGAGAGATGCGACCTGAGGAGGACAATCGTATGGAACTGGAGGCCTCTTGTTGATGATTGGATCTACAATCTGTCGCAGTATTTCGTGGAAGTCTTCGTCGTCGTCTTCGTAAGGATCTTTTCTGCTATATGTCTCATACACGATCATCCCAAAGCTGCGAAATTTGGAGGTGAAAGATAACATGAGAATGGCGGAGAACAGCGGAAGTTACAACATTTGTTAGCCAGCACGCACCCATACACATCTGTGGCAGCATTGTTTAGACTTGATCGATTCAGGAGCTCTGGTGCCATGAAAAATGGTGTGCCAGTGACTCCTGAGCGCGTCCTTTTCGAGAGTCCAAAGTCACAAACTTTGGCTCGAAACTTTTGGTCAACGAGGACGTTCTGGGCTTTTAAGTCCCCATGGATTATTGGAGGCTTTGCCCCGTGAAGAAACCGACACCCTTGGGATATATCACGGAGAATACTCAGCAGCATTTCTCCGTCGATGAACATGGTCTCATTTGCCAACAAATCCTTTAGACTCCCGTGGTTCAGGTATTCCATGACCAACATTGGCTCTTCCGAAAGGCCCACCACAGCACCTGTTTTCAGTGTGAGAGCAGAGGTCGAAACAAGCGGTGAGGTTCTTTGCCACAAAGTCCTGCAATGTCCGGTCGGTCCGGCGGGTTCACCGCGCAGCATGAATAACTCACCCATGATAGTTGTGATGCAAGGATGCCTCAATCTACTGATTGTACGCATCTCCTTGTAGAAGTCTGCTTTGAGTTTCCCGATGCTTGTATTGCTACGCTTCGTCCTGAATCCCGAAAGCAGGCCGGAAGACCGGCTACTACCGGAGCCACTGTCCGTAGATTTTTTCATGCCATCTCCGGATTCAACGTCCCAAGATTTGTTCTGATCTCCCACAGTGTTCTTCGATGCAACCTTCATCAATCCGCTCGATTTTTGTTTGGATGGAAGCACGCGCTTGATCGCCACACTGGTTCCCCTGGCATCACGAGAAGGTTTTTGAGCTTGTACATATGTATTTGACCAAGGACATTTGTTTGTTCAGCAAGCATACGTACCTGTACTCTGCCAACAAGACCACACCAAAGGTCCCCCGGCCTATGATTCTTGGAGGATCATCAAACTTGAGTTCCCGTTTCTTGACTTGCCACACCGAGTCATTTTTGAGTTGGAAATGTCGGTACACGAGTCCCCCCACAAGACACGCCAGGAGAATGGGAATTAAAGCACTCAGCACATAGACATGCGAGCCAACCTGTGCTGCCGCCACGCTACTACTAATAGTAGGCTCATCACACGCGGCATGGGGCCCCACCAAGTCTGGTTTCGTGACGAGGTGTGGCGGGCATGCACAAGATCCATTCACTGTGCACACTCCTCCCTGGCCGATACAAGGAGACAATCCCACACAGTCTCGGTTGACCCAGGTGGGAAGTGGATATACCATTTCAAATGATGTATGATGATGGGTTTCCGGCAGCAGTATATGCATGGTAGCATTTTCGTCATATTGCAAAAGAAGGAAAGGAGCGGCATTCTGGCCGTTTTCATCAAAGCTGACATTTCCGTAGACTGTTGGAAAGTAGCCGTCGGCCAAGACGTCTCGAATTTGATCCGTCGCATTCTGACCTTTGAATGCACCGACTTGTTCAATGGCCTGCGCTAGGATGCTAATGACGGCACTCTGTTGGACCTGTTGGTATTGGGGACGTCGAAAGGCCGCTTGTTCAAACAAACGATCAAAGTCTTTGGGGGTCCAACCAGTCGCGGCGTCTGGTACCGGTGGCAATGCACTGTCCCAGCCCCCAACCGCCATGATATATGGGAGATCCACGGGGCCAATTTCCCGCTCGAATTCATCTGTCCCGCCCACATACGTGTACGCCTGCGCCTTTGGTGTCCAGTTGACGTGTCGCATGGCTTGATTCCATTCCCCATAGCGAGTCCGGACACAGGTAATCATCAAATCGGGATCCAGAGCCGCCATTTCCTTGGCTACCCAAATATAGCTCTCCAAGGACGCCAATTCGGGAATGTTGGTGGCACTCACCACTTGCATATTGTACTGTTGGGCTAATCGCTCCACCCCGGCACACGGATCCGTCGATTCTTCTTGCAGGTACGCCACCGTTTTGGCGCCTTTTGCGCTGGCGGCTTGGAACACATATTCCAAATACGAACCACTGGGAGGATTGAGTCCAAAGACATATGTCTTGTTGGCATGAACACTGGTGCGACTACTGCCACCCGTGATGCAGAGTTTTTGGTGGTGTTGCGCAATGGGAGTCAGAATGGACGTCAAAAACGAACTGTAGCCGGCCAACAGGATGTCGGTGTGATTGTCAGTGGCAATCGTCTGCCCAATCCGTTGCGTCTTGTTTTGATCCGACTGGTCTCCATACGTCTGCAGCGCAATGGAGTAGTTCTGGTCGCCCACGGATACCCCGCACCGTGGAAACATGTTGATCTCGTCGACGGTCATTTGGGCTGCCTTCAGCATCAGGCTACCCAGGACGTAGTGGGTATCTTCATAGTCAATCGACATGGGATGGCTCAGTACGATGGACCCTTCGTACTGGCACGGTTGCTCCTGCTCATCGTGGAAGTAGGATGAATCCACCCCTCCCCAATTCACATACACAGTCGCCGCTTCCGTTGTACACGAGAAAAAGCCAACAATTGCGGTTGCAGCAAAGAAGCATAGGCTGCTCCTAGTAGTAGTCAGTGGGCGCTTCATTGTCTTCTTCTCTTGTGCTTGATTCCTGCAAATATATATATTAGGTTGGATTGGTTCTGTGTTTTGTGTGAGAGAAGTGGGCACTGCCTCACTCACAGCCTCACAGTACTAGTACCGGCATTGTTGAGACAAGATTAGGAGAAAGCCACGGCAACTGGTCGAGTTGGATTTGTGGCGTTGGTTGCATCCTGAGTCATCATGAGTGCTCCTAACTAAATCATATAACGCTGCTTCTTATTTGTTGTTTTGTTCCCACTGGTCATATCGGTTTCTGAGACATATATGTCATGGGTGCCGTCATCAGTTCCAACTCGAGAATTCCAAAAGCAAGTGATCTCAATCAATTAGTACCAATAGTCGCAGGTTCTCAGCTCTTAAAACTCTCCCGGTTAAAGGATGAACAAGGAGCTCACGTGATCTTTGTAGAGTCAAGTGGATGTTTAACCACATAGATCGATGACCTTCACTTGCGCGACAATAATGCAATAATGTACCGGTATGCATCGCCCTCATTACATACAATGTCGTGTATCTTCTTGTTCTGGCATGCAGGGATCTTAATTAAAAGCTTGCTTGGAGTGAATGAGGGAATGACGGGTCGAGTCGTGGATACATCGAATCCTAATCACTTTTTGGGAGCGTTTTCAAAAATTCATTAGAGCTCCTTTTTGAGCTCTAATACATTTTTGAAAACGCTCCCAAAAATTGATTAGGATTCGATTTATCCACGACTCGAATCGTCAATCCTCCGACAGTCTTTTTAAAACAAAAGTCTTCTCAACTACTATTACCCCTACTTATTACCGGTATGGACCCCAGTGCCGAGCTGGTGCTTTCTAGCTAGCTCTACTAGCTAGTACAGCTTATCGATAGCTAGCTAGCTAGTTTAGTAGAGAACCTGCCCTATGGTGCCAGCTTCGCCCAATAGCTGGATGATGAATAGACTTGGATATTGCTCTCCATTCTGTTCACAGAGTCTGGCTAGAGCTACCGAAGCTACTAGCTAGAAACTACATGTATAGTTGGCAAGTCAGGGGGACTTTGGAACCTTGCCTGTTGCTGCGCTCGTTGATTGCTGCACTCGGATCATGGAACAAATCATTGATAGTAACGTACCGGTACATGTAGCTGCTTCTTGCCTTCTGGTGGTTCCAGCCCTGGCTAAGGAACGATGGCCCAACAGCTGGATGATGAATAGACTTGGATGTTGCTCTCTATTCTGTTCGTAGCTTTGGCTAGCACCGGTACCTAGCGGTACCACTAGTAGCTAGAAACTGGGTGTCAATTATGATTGTGTCTGGAACCCTGTCAGTTGCCGCACTCATTGATAGCTGGATCATGTTGATAAGGCCCAGTGCTTGACGTTGCAAGGAGGCAGGAACCCAGCCCAAAGAACCCAAGCAATGCGCTTTTCTAAAGAAAGCAAAATGGTGTTCAGATTTGCCGTGCACAGCCTGAAACCGGAACAACCAGGCCACATGGTTTTGGCTAGATCATGTTGGTTTGACCAGTGCTTTCTTAAATTTGAAACGTATTGTAGCTACTAGCTACATTGTGGAAATCAAACTCACAGCAAGCAGTTGTGCGGTTGGACAACTTCTGGTAATCCTTCGCTTGGGAAATGAATGACGGGCGAACGCAGAGTGGTATTGGCTGTATCTCTCAGCTATTGGCATCATTTCTCCCCCACCAACCTTTCACGATACCTCCGTACTTGCTCGTTATGCCTTGTTTTGGATGGAACCCACAGAGAAGAGTGACAGTCGAGTCCTCGCCTCCGCCGCCCCAGCCCTCATTCCTTCAATTCAGGTACTACACTTGTAGTTGTTCCTGTAGCTCGACCGTCCTCGGAACACTCAGATTCGAATCGAATCCACGGTGAGCGGAGCGTGGACGCGACAGTCAAGTGTGTCTCGTTTGGGTCTCAAACAATTCAAAACTCCGACGAAACGAGGCGAGAACCCTCCCGTCTCCAACACAGCCCAAGCAATTGCCACAACAGAGGGCTGTCTACGTAGGAACTAGTACAAGTCCACGAGCAACCAAGCAAAAGATCGCAAATCCAAAACCTTGGAGGTGGTCTCTCCAAACTCTCACAATTTTGCCTCAACGCAATTCGCAAGGCACCGATCCTTCTAGGAACGGTGCCGCTGTGGTGAGACAATGGGAACAGCGGCGTTCATCAAACCCCGCTTTTCTTCATTCTCTCACCATGATGCGATTGCCGTTGAGGCCGACGGCTCATTTCGACGATTTGCAGCCAAGCAAACACCGACCATGGCGCCTCCTCATTCATTCGACGATGCATTGCCGTCGCGCAATGGCGCGCTTTCGAGGACCCGACTGTCGTTTCTCTGCCCATCTTCTCCTGTGGCAGACGAATCGAATCGACAGTCGGGTTTTCGGGCGCGCAATTTTCCGACGAAGACCGTCACCATGACGCAATGAGGCATCCGTATGGTACGACGGTCATTGCCATTCAAGGTCGTTGCTGTCGTTAGCGTCGTCGTCGACTTTAGCGGCGCCGTCGTTGGCGATAGCGTCGGCGTCGTTTGGCAATGACATGATCCACTCACAACGAGGATGCCTTCCGCCATGGTGTGAGTTTCCGTGCCGGTTTATAGTCGACGGCGCATCCACTTGTGACCATTATCAAGTCACAAGTTTGGTTGTCGCCTTCTGCTTCAAATCGACCTTGGAAATTTGATACCATGTTCCACCTGCTCCCTCTGCTACCTGGTTGGTTTGGAGACCCAATTCCCATCGTTCTTGCTTTTGAGGCTGTGGCTCGGCACAACAAAGATTTGGTTGTGCCTTGTTTCACCCTCATTTTCGTCGATCGGAATGGGGTCTATTATAGCGGTGCGCGGAGGTCATGGTGCAGCACTAGGTTTGGAGTGCCTTGCTCATCTTGCCTTTGAACATGTTGGATGTCATCGCTGGACTTTGCTGTTATTGTGCTCTGGCATCAAGACCACGACCATGGCCGTTGTTGCCTTTGGTTTGCTGGCATATCTCATCACTGTCAATTCACTCTCCAGCCGAACACTTCCGTTGGAGATTGAAGTTGACTCTGGTCCAGTTCGTCATCAAGTCAAGCCCATGACCATGGCCGTCCAATGTTGCCTGGGTCCTCGCCCCTTGTCATTTGGTATGCCTAGTCACCGCTGAGTCGAGTCGAGTCGAGTCGAGTCTTGGGCGATGAGCGACGCGTGTACTTGCACGGGATCCAAATGGAGCAGCAACAGTTCTTGGTATTGGAAAAGCATTTCCAATGCTTTGATCCGTTGCGCTTGGGTTTGGGCGCCGTTTGAGTGCTCGTTTTTTGTGTTCCTGTGCTCAAACAGACATGTTGGCTCTTCTTTCGTCAGCAATGACTTCCGCTGGAGATTGAAGTTGAGCAACTACCATTTCAACCAGCTCCTTTGTCTGCCTCTACCCTTGCCAGACCCTCTAGCCAGCTTCTCCTTGGGCTGGTGCTCTGTACAACATCATTTGGTTGTGCCTCGCTTTGTCCCACATGCAAGTTGGTTGGAGGTCATGGTGGATGACATGGACCGTTGCGGCGGTAGCAGCAGCCAACCCTTTTCCTTTTTTGACAGAGCCAGCCCTTCACCGCAAATTTCCTCCTCCAAGCGCGTCCTGGACTGCAGATGGACTCTGATACTGTTCACAGTTTTGGATCATTATTGCCAACACTCTGAGTGGTCTCGGAAGACGTGAGGCACCCCAGCGGACGAGGAGGCTGAGGCAGGCTTCAATTCAGTTCAAGGACGCTTCAAGGTTGCTTCTACAGCAGTTCGCTCACATGGTTGCTTCTTGTTCCTGGCTGCCTGATCCTGTTTGGCTCCCTCTTGGCCCCCTCTTGGCCCTGTTCCTTTTGGCAAGGTCCCTGTTGGTGGTTGGTTGGACTTGTCCCTGTTCCTGGCTGCCTGATGGCAGCTGGGGGGTCTTTCAAGAGAGTCCCAGCAGAAGTTTGGCCAGGCAGCAAAAGGCAGTGCTTCCTTCAATACTTTGCCCTTTCTTCTGCCCTACTGCCTGATCCTGTGTCCCTGTTCCTGGGCTGCCTGATTGGAGTTCACTGTTGGTGGTTCCTGTTGGGTTGCTCCAATCGGAGCTGACTCCTCTTTCCAAGCTAGTGCATTTCGACCAGCTTTTCTGTTCCTGTTGGAGCTCAATGTTGGTGGTTCCTGTGACAATAGCACCAGTCGGTCAGCTGATCGCGTCAAACAGGTACGGTACACCTGTGTTTTTTGCATGCAAAAGCATGTCACCTGCGTTCTTTACTCTTGCGAGTCAGCATTCGTGTTGGAAGCTTCCAGGGGCACTCGAAAGGGTGTTCCTGATTGTCTTCGCTGAACAAAAGTGGCATGCATGCATGCAGCCTTTTGCACTTTTGCTCTTGATTCAAGTCTAACCTTCTGTCCTCTATTCTGCGTTTCTTAGACAAACAAATCAAATGACAATCTTCATACCGTGGATAGTTTGGCTCCCTCTTGGCCCCTCTTGGCCCTGTTCCTTTTGGCAGGTCCCTGTTGGTGGTTGGTTGGACTTGTCCCTGTTCTGGCTGCCTGATGGCAGCTGGGGGGTCTTTCAAGAGAGTCCCAGCAGAAGTTTGGCCAGGCAGCAAAGGCAGTGCTTCCTTCAATACCGTGGATAGTTTGGCTCCCTCTTGGCCCCCTCTTGGCCCTGTTCCTTTTGGCAAGGTCCCTGTTGGTGGTTGGTTGGACTTGTCCTGTTCCTGGCGCCTGATGGAAGCTGGGGGTCTTTCAAGAGAGTCCCAGCAGAGTTTGGCCAGGCAGAAAAGGCAGTGCTTCCTTCAATACTTTGCCCTTACTTCTGCCCTACTGCCTGATCCTGTGTCCCTGTTCCTGGGCTGCCTGATTGGAGTTCACTGTCGGTGGTTCCTGTTGGGTTGCTCCAATCGGAGCTGACTCCTCTTTCAAGCTAGTGCATTTCGACCAGCTTTTCTGTTCCTGTTGGAGCTCATGTTGGTGGTTCCTGTGACAATAGCACCAGTCGGTCAGCTGATCGAAACATTCTGAGTGGTCTGAGAGCAGCTCCTTGGCTCTGGTTAGTCTTGAGGTGACATTTGTGTGGACCGATTATGTCTGTTGGTCTTTCTCGAGTCAAGTGTGGAGATTGCTGCGAGAGTTGGTCATTGCCAACACTCTGAGCTGAGCGGTCAAGGAGCCACGTTGATCATCGTTCTGGTTCTGCCATGCAGGACAGCTTGGAAGGCCTCTGTCTTTGGATCGTGGTGCATACTGATCTCTTGATGGGCCCCTTCTTCGTTGCTTTGCGTGGCATGACCAGGAGCCAGGAGCACAACAGAAACTTGGCCTGCTGGGTTGGAGCTGTGTGATTGTTCTCTGCATTGAATGAAGTTCAATGCTTTGAGCCATCGTACCAGCCTTTGGTCCCAGCGAGCCCCTTCAAATTGTGTGACACTTTGATTGAGTCATCGGGCTCCTGCCGTTACACCAATGATTCCATTCCTCCACTGAGGTCGTGTTCTGCGTCGCCGAGCTGCATCGTGGCATTCTGTGTTGCCTGATGCACAATCAAAACGGCAGGAGAAGAGGAGGAACTTGACTCGACTCGAGCTGCTCTTGACAACCATGGCAATTCTTGGCCATGGTCACCGCTGAGCCAGCCGTGCATGGCGCCTCCTCTCCTATTCTTTTTATTTTGCTCATGATGGGACCACGTGGTCCACAGCAAGACACAGCACGACCCCCTGCTCTCGACCTCAATGGCAGAAATTGGCCATTGCCGCTGATGGAGCATTGGTGGAATTCTTGCTCTTCAGCGCATTGTTGATCCTCCGCTGTTTCCTGCACTGCCTCTTTAGTCATGGCTGTTGTTGCCTCGTATGCTGGCATCTCTCATCAGTGTCAATTCACTCTCCAGCCGAAGCCTTCCGCTGGTGATTGAAGTTGACTTGATGCATGCGATGCACGCAATGTTCAACTGGCACCATGACCACACAGAAAGAAGACTGAAGGTCACTACCTCCACACTGCCTCCTTCTCTTCTTTTCCTCCTGGATTGAAGATGGACACGGATATCGTTCCCTGTGTTGGAACATCATTTGCTAACACTCTGAGCGGTCCTTCCATCACCATTTTCAATCCCGGGGAGTCTGAGGAGACTAAGGCGGCGGAGTGCCATCCACTTTTTGAGACCTGCTTTGGCTGGTGATTGCTGATCGGTTGAGCATTGGATGGTCGTTCATTTTCCTTATTGGAGTCAAGTGCGGAGATTGCTGTTTGTGTTGGAGCTCAATACTTCCAGCAGTCCTTCTCGATTCTCTCCGCCAAGGAAAAGTTGATCATTCATTGCTCAAGAAATCTTCTTGATCATTCTGGCCGTCAGTTGAAATCGAAAGATGAGCTGCCACAAGGATGATTCGATTCAGTTCAAGGTTGCTGCTACAGCTGTTCGCTTCCATGGTTGCTTCTTGTTTGGGACAATGATTGGTCCCAGACTTCAAACAACACGATGGTCAATAACAGCTGGTCTGGCCCCATTGAGCCCTACCTCTACCCGCACTGAGCCAATTCGAATCACTGGATCGAGGTCACCGTGAAGCGACCGCTCTCAGTGTTTGAAATCCCTTGCAAATGCTTTGAGCAATGACTGCGTCGGTGACTTCGTTCCAATGTTTCGTTCTCCTCCACTGGGCTTCGGATGCCTTCTCTTGTTATTGTTCACTGCGCAAGCTGAGTTGCAGCTGTGCCATGAATGATCACAGGGGCAGGCTGGTGAAGGCCGAGTCACCTCATGGATTGAAAAATGGACTCGCGGTATCGTTCCCTACGTTGGATCATCATTTGCTAACGCTCTGAGCGTTCCCGGGCTTGTTCATTTGGCAACTCTTGAGGCGGCCATTGAGGAGGTGGTGACGGCCAACCATTCATTCTCCCTTTTTGACAGAGCCAGTCCTCCTGGGTTCCAAATGAATCGCAGACCCAAAGAAGACTGAATGGCATTGCCTCCTTCTCTTTTCCCCCTCCTGGATTGAAGGCCGACATGGATATCGTTCCCTGTGTTGGAACATCATTGCCAACACTCTGAGCGGTCTCCATGTGGTGCCCCTGAGTCCATGTGGGCGATGAGACTGAGGCCGTAGCTGTGGCCAACGCGCCAATGTTTAGTGCTATAGTTGCTACAAACTTATTACTAGAATCACACAAACCCTTTCTTTCATGACTTTTGTCGTTTCTCCTTGTGCACCATCATATCTGTCCTTTGTTCCTTGTGCACCTAGCTAGCTAGCTAGCTAGCTACTGGATCTAGAATGATCCTAATCTAGCCGGATTGAGTCTCACGGCTGCAAGGTTGGTTGCCAAAGAAGATTGTTGCAGAACAATGCTCGTGGCCTGCCTACATATATACATGATAATACGGTAGGTTTGTTAAGAATGACATGCAAACAGTCCGAAGTGATGACGCGCAAGTTGTTCTTTTAGATCATTCCTTTCGATTGAATGATTCAATCCTCGGAAATAGTTGTAGATGATACGGCACGTCAAAATAGCACGAACCATAGATTCGATTCGATTCGATCCCACCACAGTGATGGGGGTTGTATTATGATTGGATGGATGCTTCATTTTTATTGTTGATATTTTTCACTCTTTACTACCACTAGCTACTCGCCGCCTTAACATCTGGAAGGGCACACACATTGTCATTCATTTCCCGTTTCGGCAGACACCGTCGTCCATGTTCTTGACTGGCCAACAAGACGAACTGCGTCCCTTGTAACAATCGAATGAGTTTGTATTGTTTGAGTCGATCGTGCGATCGTTCAGTTTTGGGAATATGCGATGTAAATCCACACATGTACCAGAAATTACCACAATCGGGAAAATTGGGGGGCAATCCCGGTTTGAATTTCGGTCCTTTGGCTTCGTCGCAACACTTGTCCGGATGCAACGAAAGTGCATCCAATTCAATGACACCGTAAAAATCACCGGCATGGGGCAAATACAAATCTCGATTTTGGGTTCCGTGGACATCGGTTTCGTGGGGAATGGGTTGGAAGCGATGCGGGACAATGACCCGTCCCAAATCGGCAGATTGTTGCAACATTTGGAGTGTGTGGGGACGCGTGTTTAGAATCGAATCGGGTTCTGTCAAGTAGACGTATTTCCAATAATCGGGTGTGGTATTGTCACCCAAAAATGGTTTGGCAGTATCCACGTCACCCCGTTCGGCGGCCAAAAAGGCATTCCGCAATCCCACCAATGCCGCCTTGGGGACATTGACATCGACAAATTGGGTTTTGGAATCTTCGGGACGTCCATCACAAAACGCCACTTGCATGTGTCCCACCTGTGTGATATCACTTCCATATTTGGTTTGTTGAATGCCACTCCCGACGGACTTTTGGACCAATGCAAACGCTTCTTGTGCCAATTTGCGATCGTCATCTCCCTTCATGCCCACGACGACGACCCGTCCCATACCGGCTCGTCGCAAGGATTCCACCGTTGCTGCTAAATTGCGTGTCGTAAGTTGATTGGCTTTTTCTTGTGCCATTTTATTCTTGTATGCCATGAACGCAATAACGGCAATGGTTTGTTGTAGTGCCGGTTCTTTGGGTACGGGATACTGAGGGCCTCTTTGGACATAGTGTTCCAATTTTTTCAAAGCATTCTGCAAGGGAATCTCATTGTCGTATGGATTCATCATGACATACCACTTACTCAAATGTTCAATCGAAAAGTCGAGCCAATCGGCCGTCATGCGCAATTTGGACCATCGATCATCTTTCGAATACGCAAAAAAGGCCGCATCTTCGCAAATTCCAATATCGTCCAATTTCATACTCTGGAACTGCTCTCGCGATTGCAACCACGATGCTGCGAATGCATCGTGTTCGGCGAGTTGCGTCAGATCGAGAAAATGGACCATTCGGTCGGGTAATGGAGGATCGGTGCGAGGACCCACGACGCGGCCGGTTTGTTCCGCTTCGATCCGTTGAAAATCGTCCCACGTGTCGGAAAAAGCAGGATGGGCGGGGCGTAATTGGACACTGTTCTTTTTATGTAGTGTTCTCGTGCTTGTGCTTGTGCTGGTTGTGCTGGGCGTATCACTATTGGTAGTACTAGCAATCATCAAGTCATTCCAATAATTGAGATCGGATGTCGAATCTCGTATTCGCAAAATCATGGCCATGGCCGACATGCCAATCATCATTCCCATAAACAGGCTTGGCTTGTTCCAACCACCATCCATGCTGTTGCTACTACTGCTAGCATTCCCACGACGGCTTCTGCGACTTTTTATCATGCTGATGATATGACTGATTGTGTTTGTTTTACTGTATTGTGTTTGTTTTATTGATGTTGTGAACGTCGTGGGTCTTTCTTTCGCCATGGGCAAATAATGGTTATTTTGGACAAGAGAAAAAGTCATCCGCGTCGGTTGAGAATGGAGTGGAGGCATTCCAAGATAACCCTCTCCCTGTTTTGGCAGGACTGCAAATCTGGCTCTTAAGTATCTTTGGGACTTTCGAAGACGGCCCAACTTTAGGAGCTGCACCCACTCACATTTTCGTTCATTTTCATCGCTTCGTGCCGCTTTGATAGGGCTGTCCACATGCATGAGAGAAAGATGTCACCAGCCAGAAGCTCATCAGAGCAGAAGTAAACATTGCTGGTTGTTATCCATCGAGCTAGCTAGCTAGTATGATAGGTTGTTGGGCTTGTCAGAACCTATGATACTACTATTGAATAGTACCCAATTCAAGCTTTCATGCTTGCTTGGTGGCGCAGCGCAAGCTGAATGAATGAATGCAAAAGCTAGCTAGCTAGATGGAACCGTACAACCGTTGACACTTTGCTACCGTTAGAAGAAGGCCCCGATGAGCAAGCGCCACCAATGCATACCGTTGCACTCACACGACAAAATATAGTATCATTGTTGTAGTAGTACGGTAGCTAGCTGTTCCATGGGGGGTTACGGGCCATGACATGATGGGGTGATCGTTGGATGCAGCTGGCCTTCCTGCTTGCTGTTCAGCCAGCCACGAGTGCAGTTACCACCGGTAGTTAGTTAGTCCAAGGATTGCTTGAATCGAATCATTCAACAACGGTTTTGGAGAAAGGTCCTCCTCCCATCCAGAAGTTTCCGGACAGCTTTCACGTCCTTGCTGTAGGCTACGGGCATGGTGGAACTTGAGCTTTGCTTCGCTCTATTATTATGATGCGGGCTTACCTATCGGATCTATACCGTACAGAGCAGAACACCTCATAAATCTTCTTTCACGTCGCAAGCAACAAGTCAGTAAGCTCGCAGACAGAACCCCACTTGGAGACAGCGTCAATACCAGCCCAGCCGCCGCAGCAGACGGCTCGTGAAGCAAGACCAGCCATCTCCAAGAAGCAACTCTCCAACAAAACAGGGCGGGAATTGTGGACACAGCTAGTGAGCTAGTCTAGCTAGATAGAAAAATATGCTTGGTCGTGCCTTTTTCTGTTTTGGGCTGCTGATGGTGCTGTACTACCGTATTATGCATATTATGCGACCCCATGCGAAAGCCCCACCTGCATGCTGCGTCCAAACCCAAGCAAAATGACAACGCCAAATCCTGCGCATGAGCTGGTGGCTGGTGGGCCCACCGTAGCTACCGTATAGCTGCTGGCTGGATACTATGAAAACAGCGTCTACCTCGGTGCCTTCGTCGTTGACCGTTGACTCGACTCGACTCGACTCATTGAGGAAGCACTCAGCAGCACGGGTCATACTTTTGATGCACGAGCATCAGATTGGCTCAGTTTTTATTAACCAAAGTCAAGATTACGAACACGTTTGGGGTGGAACTGCTTGGCTAATCAACTGCAGTGTCACAGTGTCGAGTTTGACATTGCTTTAGAAAGAGATCGTCACCGGCTCGGGAACATGATGCAATTTTCGGAGATTTGACGTATCATTCTATTGATGTAAATGCAGAGAGCATCCTCACAATTGAGACCAGCGAACACTTCAACAGGGGTTGACCAAGGAGTCAGTCCACAACCATGTCATCTTGAACCGGGCTAACATCGACATTCCCATTCGAGACATCTACTGTGACAACATGAATGACTGCGCCAATGCTGCGAACCTTTGCTTTGTCTCGGATGGCCAAGGAATCAGCCTGAGTCTTCCCGTCGCAATGGATTTCGATGCAATCCCACCTCCAAATCATGCCAATTCAAGTATAGGAGCGGGGGCTGTGTATGGCCATCCTGAATGCACAACCGAATGCACGAGAGTGGTGAAAGGGCGGTACCCTTCGGATTCGAATCCTACCGTACACCAGATTGATCGACACCCTGAGGTTCTAAAAAGCTGTGCGTGTTAGAACAGTTTGGAGAGTTCCCTACAAGGTTTGCCGACGCTGTCCATTTGGCATCTAGCTCGTGCCGTATTCATGTCGAGGAACTGGTAGAGCAAAATTCTGCTTAACCTTCAATGCGACCGGGACATCGTTTCAGAGACAAAAATAAATAGTCGTACTGCTCCCGTAGTCCCATGCAACCATCCATGCTCCATGGTCATGGCCCGACGCAAGAAGCACGTCGTGATGCGGTCATGCCCAAGAGTCAAAAACCCTTCACGGAATACAATGCGCTGAATGACCAGGAGCCAGACCAACGCGCTGCTTGGGACGGTGTCAGGAATTACTCAGCGCGAGTAATGTGCACTCTTGTACCGCTCCAACTGTAAATCACTGGCTGTGGTAGGCGAGGTGCGTGTGGTCCGGATGCCCTCACAACTCTCCAATGATAGCTAGCTAGCAAGCCTCATGTGAAACGATCATGTATGTATTATATATGTGAAAAGTTATCTTTACCAGGTAGTTCAACTGTCATCCTGGACCTGCCAACAACAAAAACGGAAGATCGCCACGACTAGCGGTTGTCCCAGCACAGTTGGAGGAGCTTGAGTCAACCTATCTAGCTAGACATCAATGGAATGCAGCTCTTCAAGATTGTCAGCCGAAGGTGCAGCCCCCGACTCCAGGTCAAAGGACTCACTCAATGGGAAATCTCCCATCTGGGAAGTCGAACTACGGGTTGAAACAACACTCACAGTTTCGTCGTCGTCATCGCTGATCCCCCGGGGTTCACCCAATACGTTGTCATGAGACCTTTCCCCTTGGCAGTGATCTTGTCTTCTCGCAAAGTCAGCCATTCTGCCTTGCCAAGCTTTTGGAGTTCAGTGGCAGTCGTTGCCGAGGCGTGGATCCTTCCGGGCTGACCATTGCTGTTTTCAATGCAGAGAGAGCCATGTATGTAGTTAGCTCGTTGCTTCTCAGCAACAGTGGAAAATGATACACCAGAGAATTTGACATACCTTTCCATTTGAGACGCTGTGTTGACGCTGTCACCAAAGAGCTGGAACCTGGCCTTCTTGCCACGCAACAAACCTCCTGTCACAGGTCCTGAATGCATGCCAACCCTCATCTGGACATTTAGGGTATCATCCCCCAGAGTAGGGGACAAAGATACAAGAACAGGGTGAAACTTCCGCATGCAGGTTTGAGCAAACTTGGTCATGATCAGGGCATGTTCCGGCTGTGCTTCTGGAAGCCCAGTGACAGCGACTGCAGAGGGATAGTGAGAAAAGGATTTGTGTCAGATGCAAAAGAAGGATGATGACACAAACTATATGTGCACCTGCAATCCCCAATGGTTTCGACTGGGAGAGGAAATAGAATGAAGTGAAGTTAGATAGAATCCCGAGGAGAACACATTCTGGCGGCCAATGTTGTACCTTTAAACACATTAAGCTTGTCCGCAATCCTGTCGAACTGCCCATAGAGTGCCTCCAAAAGTTCAAAGACTTCCACATGTGTTCGAGTGGAGCTCCACTTTGTGAAACCTAGAAGTGGAAGAGAAAGCAATTGTATGAGCTCTCTGTACAATCCAACAATCATGACCAAATCATCACGCCAAACGAAGTGCCTACTCTTGGAACACTATTTTTTAGACTCAACTGCCAAATCCATAAAGAAGATTGTGGTATCATCATAGTAGTGGGCAATGGCCTGTTTGGCAGTCAGACCTTCTGCTCCACCAGAATCATAATGTCCTCCAGCGGTGCTGGATCTAATAAGCCACCCCTTTTCATTCTCCTTTGATCTGACTTTGGCTTCCTCTTCCTGATAGAGTTGCTTTCGGACATCTTCCGGAAAGAGACTAGACACCAGTTTGCCAGACTGTTGAGCAGACTTCATGACAGCCTTTTGTCGATGTTCAACAAAGTACAGCGTAATCAAAAGCAATGAACACCATGCATGTGAAGAGAAAGACAGATGCCAGTGTCACAGTAAAGATAAGAGGTGTCATCAGGTGGAAAATCCAATGTGGAGCTGCACCACCTTCACAGCCTTGCAGGTATTGTTTGTATCCACGAATCAACCATCTGACGTCAGCGGTGTCAAACAACAACATGTCGAGATCGTACTGTAGACTACCAAAGAAGAGAAACCGAACAAGGGAGCAGAACCAAAGGAGACTGACAGACCGGAATAAAATAAAATCTTTTCAGCCACAACTGCAACATGACAGATGATGGTACCGTAGGCGCCAGTTAGAAGGACTTCCCTTGGGCTACTATACGGTAAATAGGAAGAACAGTGCACTTTTTCTGAACCAAAAGATTTGCAACCAAAAGATTTGCTGCCAAAAGATTTCCAACCGATCAGCACATTCGAGCAAGAGGTCATGGCGAAGGACAAGAAGAAGGACAAGAAGAAGACTGCGTCCAGCACGGCTGCTGCTGCTGACGATGGTACCGCAGATAGCGGCAGCAACATGAAGAAAGAAGAACAGAAGAGCGCTTCTTCTGCAAGTACTACCGATACTAGTAGTAGCAGCAGTGGTAAGCAGTCCAATATGGCAGTGTACGGTGGTATCTTGGTGGCCGTGTTGGCCGTGTTGGCGGCTGTGGTGTACCAATCGTCTCGAAATATTTCCCCGGAACAGATGGAGCTCATTAGTACGACGGCATCGACTACCGTCGCGCAGGCGCAACAAGTCGTACTGGGCAATTATCAGCACTATTTTGGAAACATTCTCGAATTACTCGATGACCCTGGTATTAACACTACACGATTTCGAGAAACCTGGAACAACATTCAAACATCCATTCGAACGGCATCTGAATCCTCCTCAAAATCCAGCGCCATCATTGGCCATCGCATGGCACTGGAACGAGTTGACACTACCATCGCGAGACATCCGGTATTCATGGTCCCGGGATTTGTCACGTCGGGCTTGGAATTGTGGGAAGGTCACGACTGTGCCGTCGCATTCTTTCGACGCAAAATCTGGGGATCTCTCGAAACGTTTCGATCATTTGCGCAAGATTCCGAATGTTGGAAACAACACTTGAGTCTCGATCCGATTACCGGTCTCGATCCCGATGGCATTCGATTGCGACCGTCGCAAGGATTCGAATCGGCCGATTTTTGGACGTCGGCCTTTTGGGTCTGGGATCGGGTCATTCGCAATTTGGCCGCCGTGGGCTACGATGGATCCAATATGGATATGGTATCGTACGATTGGCGATTGTCCTACCCATTGATGCAACAGCGAGATGGACACTTTTCCAAACTCAAAACCAAAATTGAATCTTTTGTGGATTTCTCCGGGAAAAAGGCCGTCATTATGGGACATTCCATGGGAGCCCCCAAAGTCTTTTTCTTTTTGGTTTGGGTCGGAAAACCAAAGGAAGAAGGGGGTGGTGGAGGTGGCGATGATTGGGTCGAACGATATATTCATGCCTACGTGGACCTGGCGGGGCCCTTGTTGGGGATCCCCAAGGCAGCATCGGCGTTGTTGTCGGGAGAAATGAAAGATACCAATATGCTCAATCCCGTTGGGTCCCTCATTGAAGGTATTTTTGGACGACAACGACGTCACGAATTGTGGAGTTCGTGGTCCTCTCTTTGGGGCATGACACCCAAGGAACGTACGAATGGCAATTGGATGAGCCGGGCGTACGAATGGCATGGACATGTTCTTCGTCTAATTTCGTATACTGCTTTCCTTTCTTTCTATCTTAGGGTGGAGACGACATTTGGGGCGTTGCCGCCGATGTCAATTGTGGACCCAACAAGGTCCTACGCGGAAATCACTGTGTGGACAAACAATCTGCTGGGGAACCCACCCTTACTCCCTTTTTGACATTCACCGACACGGAGGTACCACAATATGAGAGTCCACTCGTAAACAAATTTGCGGCCAAAGCAACGTGGTCTTTCAAGGACGTCATGGAATACCTGTCCGAATGGAAACAAGGGCATCATGGTCCCGAGTCGTTGACCACAGAAAGTCTTGGCGATTGGAATGATCCAACCAAGAGCGGATTACCCTTTGCACCATCCCTCAATGTGTATTGCATGTATGGTGTAGGACTACCCACGGAACGAATCTTTCATTATCGACGACAAGAGTTTGTTGATGGCGAAGATGTGCCCTTTGTCATGAATGATACCATCAAGGACGATCCTTCCGAAAGTCTCATGTGGAGTGTTCGAACCGCCATTGGAGATGGCACTGTGCCGTTGGTATCCTTGGGGTACATGTGTGCCGAGGGTTGGAAACAAGTGTCAAAAGAGGCAGAGGCGAACCCTCTGAATCCTGGTAATTCCAGAATCGTTACTCGAGAGTACGAACATAGAGGATCGTTCCAGGTGGACGATCCAATGCGACAAGGACCCGAATCGAGTGAACATTGCGACTTGTTGGGTAACTACGAAGCGTTGGAGGATATGATCAAGATTGCCTTGGGTGAAACCGTAGAGCCGCGGATTGTGTCCAATATTGAAGAAATCACCGAGCAGGTTCGTGCCAACAAACGCAGACGACAACTTGAAGAGAGTAAATAGTTAGCTGCATTTCAGAATCCACGATGAGAACGTGGTTGGCTGATCTCCCATGGAAATCTTACTTCTCAAGCTAGCAACGACTGAGGTACCCAGTGCGGGTGGGTAAGTAGGACACTGTGATGCGAGAAGCATTGGGTTCACCACCGGATGAGAAAGGTAGCGTGTTTCTTCGTTGATGGTTTCATGACCTTTGACTCGGGGAGCGTCGAGGGTAACAATGAGGCAAGAACGCCACAAGGCTCGGCGGAAGAAAAATGACTTTCCCGACTGGACGACATGGCTGGAACAGATGCTCGCCGGTCTCATTTTGTTTTTTACTGGCGGTTGCCTATCAGCCCAGCTGAACCTCCGTTTTCGTTGGCAGGATAGCCACCAACCACTAGAGCAGCCAGGATAACACTTGGCCCCAGCACTGCAGCAATCACTTCAATGGATGGTTGGCCCCAGCACTGGATTTATAACAACTGCTAGCTCCAGCACCAGTTGAACTAAAAGGGCAGCTATTAGGGCATCTTTTGCTAGAATTTCCGGGCCATTTTGGGAGCAGGATCTGCATGCATCCCTTGTGGCTCAGAAGCAAGTGAACCAAGGCAGGAAGAATGCATCAGTCAGCCCTTTCCTTCCTAACGGATGTACCGTGGCTAGCTAGTACAGAAATGAATAGATAGAGTGGCGAGGAGTCTATCCTGGCTGGTCCACATCGATTGGGGGAATATATGCAAACCGAGGAAGGAAGGCGTCAACTTGTGTTCCTACAGCTAGCGTACGCGTTGATATAACCGCAGCCCACGGTCCTCCACGTAATCGCCGGACCAGTTCAGCCGTCTGGCTGAATATCCACAGCGAGACATCAGGAGCATTGATGGACGAAACCTTGCTTCTCTCAGGCCTAGCTAGCCATTTTAGCTAGCGAGCTACACACTGTACAACCTTACATGTAACTCTTCAAGCATAGCAGCATCCAAGTCAGCCGTTTCCCCCCTACGGTGTACAAGTGTCTAGCTAGCAAGATAGCTGGCCGACTACAAGTTTAAAAGTCGGTACCGGTGGTACTGGTCAAGGTTTTTTGGCACTGTGAAGAGTTTGTTGTTGGCCTACCTGTATCTCGGGCACACGTTTCGTCCATACAGGTAGACTGTGAGATCTTCACGCGATAAGTTCTTGAATCGATATCTTGTGGGCTACTCGAGAGCTACTTTCAGTGACCTACAACATC